GTTCAGAGCATCTTCATGAGATTGGCTATGTTAAAGTTGCTAATGAAGCGCTAATTGAAGCAACTCTAAGGATTAACTCTGAAAGTGGCCTTCTCTGGGAGTTCGAGTGTTCAAAATCTCACTTATTACTTGAAACTTGCAGTGACACGACTTCTGCTTTGATTCGCTTGGCCACACAGCTCCAACAGTTACTTGCTCCTGATTTGGAGGAATCTGCTGTGCACTTGCAGACTCGATGGGACAACATTCAGCAGGCGAATGCTAGGAATGATTTTGATATCAGTGATAGACTCAGTAGCTCCGATTCAAGTGGAGAAATGAGAAATTTAAGATTAGATTCAGAAACTGAAACTGGGGTCATTGGTTTGATAAACGAAATAAATGAAGATGCTTTCCAGTTTGATGTCAATCCTAGTATTCAGTCTGACTATTTGGAATGTCAGAATGACTATATGTCATCTCATGGGCAGGCTCGTAACTCGGTACCTGCTACTCTTGAGAAACTACCTTCTAATCAGTTTATGTGTGGGTCATCTTCTAGATTACAGCCAGAAAGCAGTCAGATATTCCTAGAAAAAGATGGCCTGCCTGAAATAATTGAAGACTATTGTTTGTCCGAGTACCATCCATCGTCAGAGGTACCTCAAGAAGGGGATTCATCAGGGAGACCATTGTTTCTTGAGACTGATTTGAGGAGAGGAAATTCCGGGTGGTATGATGACGGGTCCTTAACAATTTTAGAAGACCATGTGTCAGAAGCAACTGAGGAAGACCATGAGGAACATATTTTGGATGGAGAATTTTCATCTTTTGGCGTGACATCGTATTCTGCTGTAGCGGCTATTGGACGTATACTTCTGAAAAACATCGACCTCAAATGGAGAATTTACTCTGGCTCTGATTGGCATGATTCTAGAAAGAAAGGAGAGGTTTACAAGAACATGACCGGCCGTGATACAACTTCTTGCTTGGAGCTGGAATTATCTGGTGTGCAATTCCTATATGAAAGTTTCCCAATTGGCGGATTATGTACCTCCAAACTCTCTCTCATGGTCCAAGATTTCTATCTTTATGATAGAAGCAAAGCGGCACCTTGGACATTGGTAATTGAGATTTTTCACTCTTATCTTCATAAGATTTGATTATACTAAAATAACGTGGGTAGATAATTGAACTTGTGTCCATGACTTATAGGTCCTTGGATATTACAACTCAAAAGATCACCCAAGAGATTCCTCTTCAAATGCATTCAAGTTGGAACTAAAAGCTGTCAGACCCGACCCTGACACGCCACTTGAGGAAAACCGGTATGCTATCTCTATTATTCAACACTCAACAGTGTTATATAGGACCGTAATTATTATTTCATAAACATTGGCCTAGTTGTATGCACAATTAGATTTCAACATATGTCTGCTTACTTAACAAAAAACTATATCAAACATTTTCCGAGTTGACTGGCTGTCAAATTCAATGCTTATCAAAGTAAAGACGGGTGCATAAATACTAAATAATTAAGGTCATTTTTCCATGGAAGTAGTCATGTTCATACAAGATAGTTTCCAAGAGATTTCCCCTGTTTGGCAAAATTAAGGGTAAATTACATTGTAGATGTATTCTTAGTAAACTTGAATTACGTTCTCTGTGCTACTTACAATTTTTTTTTCTTTAATAGATTTTGGTGTTTCATTATAACTTACATGGACATTCTGGTTAATGGCTTAAATAATAGTTACTGCATATGTGAACCTTTTCTTTCCCTTTTCTCATAAATTGCTTCCTTCCAGGTTACGTGTTGCTTTGCTCCCTATACTGTTGCATCTTCATCAAAGTCAACTGGATTTTCTCATCAGCTTCTTTGGAGCTAACAACGTAGAAAAGCCTGTAGTTTCCGTAGGAGATTCGGGTGGTTCAACGTTGTCGGTTTCCGTTAAAGGACATAATATCATAGAAGAAGCGCTTCTTCCATATTTTCAGGTGAATAAAGTTTCTTTATTCCTATAAGCTAGTATGATGCTGGAAGAGAAGCACTTGCGTGTTACCTGCCTAGGACGTGTATGATGTTTTCATGCTCAAATGAATGTGATACTAATTATGTTAGTGTCTCCATATAATGTCGCTCAGCTGAAGTTATAAACCTCAATGTTTTTGATTCAGAGTTCTGAGGAAGTATGTTTCTATAAAGGTTGGTTTTACTAAAATTACATGACTGATGAAATTCATTTGCAGAAATTCGACATATGGCCTGTAAGTGTTCGAGTTGATTACAGTCCCCATCATGTTGATCTAGCAGCACTAACGGGAGGGAAATATGCAGAGCTAGTGAACCTTGTTCCCTGGAAGGTAAGAAACAAATATGTCCACTTCCAGGTTATTTTAGCATCATTTACTCATCAGAGAGGAACATATGCAGGGTATTGAACTACAGCTCAAACATGTGCATGCTGCTGGGATCTACGGCTGGGGAAATGTATGTGAGACTATACTGGGAGAATGGTTGGAAGATATATCTCAGAATCAGGTTCGTTTCACATAGCATGCTGTCTTGTGCACATTAATAATCATCTATTTTGTGGGTTTAGGCTGACAATTTTGTTAATGCTTTGTAAAATATTTAGATTCATCAATTGTTAAAGGGGATCCCAACAGTAAGATCACTTTCTGCTCTTTATGCTGGTGCCGCGAAGCTGGTCTCTTCACCTGTTGAAAGTTACAGGAAAGATCGAAGGCTAGTAAAGGGAGTCCAAAGAGGTAAGGCGTGAACGGCTCAACGCTCAATTTTCACTATTATTAATTTTTCCTTGTTTTCCTCTTGTTCTTTTCTATTATCTGAAAGTAAGCTACCTATAGTGCACTCATTCGTACATATCATATATGATGTTATAACTGAGCTGGTAATAAAAAGGATTATGGTGTTGGTATATTTCCTAGACTCTCATTCCTCAAGAACAAGGGTCAATGATAATTGCTCTTAGCCCTCTAACAATGACTAGGAAACCCTTATCAATACAACTTCTAACATAGCTGATATTGTAATTGCCTCTGTTAAGCAAGATGAATAGCATCTCTGCTGTTGTGGCCAAATTATTCCATATCAACAGTGTCAGGTTATGATTATGTTTCTGATAGTACGTTCTTAAAGAGATAGGTTCAGCCAGGAATTTATTAGTTTGTGCTTTACTACAGTACGCATGACTGAGCTGTAACTGCTGATTTTCAGGTACTATTGCATTTCTCAGAAGCGTCTCACTGGAAGCTGTTGGACTTGGTGTTCACTTGGCTGGCGGAGCTCATGATATTTTGTTGAGAGCAGAATATATATTTGCAAGTGCACCATCATCGCCACAGCCCCAAGGCAAAACGAAGACGAACGTAAGACATAATCAGCCTAGAAACGCTAAACAAGGCATGCTTCAGGTGAGTATAAAACGCTACACATGTCCTGCGTTTCTGCTCATATGATCCCTTGTCCGCTCCTGGGTCACATATATTTACATTTCCATAGGCATGCGAGAACATTGGTGACGGAATAGGAAAGTCAGCTTCTGCATTGGTCCGCACACCTTTGAAGAAGTATCAACGTGGAGACGGAGCTGGATCAGCATTTGCAACAGTTGTTCAGGGAGTTCCAACAGCTGCTATAGCACCTGCTTCAGCTTGTGCAAGGGCTGTTCATAGTGCTCTTGTTGGCATCAGAAACAGGTCGGTTCATATTCAACTAATTTTTTGGAAATATCTGTTATTTGCAAAGTGTTAAATGCTTGTGTGGAATTCTTCGCCTTTCAGTCTTGATCCTGAACATAAAAAAGAATCCAGGGAAAAGTACTTAGGCCCAGATAAACAAAGGAAGCAAGACCACCAACACCGATAAAGCCAGGTAAGTTTTTGTTCAGTCTAATTTCCTGGTTATCTTGCAGATTGAGAGACCAAGACTTGGCTTTTGACCCCCATTTACTGATCCTGTTTCTAATATGTTTGATACAGATTATCAATGTTGGTGTCAGGTCCCTTTTACATTTAGCATGTAAGTCTCTCTACTAAAACTTATTGAAATAGAAGTTTACAAGTTCGGTGGTTTTTTATTTCTTATAGACTTCGAAAATGGTTCTTAATGTGGATATTTGGTTCCTCTGTTTTTCTTACTTATAGTTTTTCAACATGTGTTCATGTTCTTGTAGGTATATAGGTTTTGAATAGAGCAAATGCAGCAGAACCATTCTTTTGTCCCTCGAAAGGCGAAAGCCAGAGATATGGGAGAATTTTGGTATAGATAAACAGCCTTTAAACCTTATAGAATCATTCAGTTTGTCTCTGTAGTGTGTACATACACAGTTTCAATCTTCCTCCATTTGTAAATTTAGCCCCACAGTTTGCTAAAATGAGTGAAAGTGTACAGTTTCTTTTTTCTGTTTATAGTTCAAAAGAAAATTACTACTGCCTGTTTCTTATTCCTTTTTTTTTTTTTTTTTCTGGTTTCAAAATATAAAATCGAGTGTGAGTGTGACTTGACCGAATCAGACGTCTAGATTGGAAACACGGTCAAAAATGGTTCCCGATGTTTGTGAATTTACGTATTAAATCTTACTTACGTGGTAACTTGTATTTAGTCGTCATTTCTTCTCAGAAAACAAAAGTAAACAAAAAGTTGCATCGAATTGTTACTTTCTAAGGACTAGCCGATTGATTGATTCATTAAGTATGTAAACTGTGACCATATCAATTGGTTACTTAGTTCGGTTACTGCCGTGATTCATATAGTGCGGTTAAGTGTTAACTAGAGAGAGTAGAATACTGAACCAATTGCATACGAGCGGTTAATGTACAATGAAGAAACGATCACAGGCCATAAAGCAAAAACTACATTTGACATAAGAGAGGAGTCGAGAATTCAAAGAAAAACAAGAACAATAAAAAATCGAAAATCGAAAATAGTTTATTTTTGTTATTAGCATTAGATGTCTAGTTCGCCGTAATTAGCTGACTTTTCCTGAGTCCATCTTTTAGTCATCAGACGATTCCAATATACTTGCAAGACAATTCTGCACGATCAACAATATAAGAGTATGAGAAGAACTAAGTTTGCTTTATTAAATTTTTAGAACTTAAGAAACACCAAGGATTTAATTAATAACTAATTATATATTACCTGAGATTTTTGGGGAAGATAGTTGATGTTGTTGTTGTTGGAATGAACTTTCTTGGACTTGTATAGACCTAATTTCCACCAATTACGAGATCCCTTTGAGATCGAACGGTCAGAATCTTGAGCATTTAGTTCCTCTCTCATTGTAGTCACTTTCTTCTCATGAGTCTTCTCTAGTGGCAACAAAACTCCCCCAAAGAAGATCTCATCAGCTGCGGAGGTAAAACCATAGCTTTCGACATTGAATTTGAAATCCGACGAAACAGGAGCTTCCTTGTACTTCATCTGGTCCTGTATTGATGATGAAACTGTCTGATGAAGTTGGTTACCACTGTGATGATCACTGTCTGCAAAATCATTGGAGAATGAGATTCTGGCGTCTACAAAGGATGAATACATTGAGGCTTGTTCTACAGTATTAGCCATCTCTCTCCCTCTCTCTGTCCACACTTACACTTAACAGTTTAGCTCAATAAGTTTGTGTTTTTTCTTTTGTGCTAGTCCTTTGGAATCTTCATGCATCCACATGTTTTGCATTTTATAGACATGAGATTGGTGGGGATCCATGTGGATTTCATCTTTATTTTAACCTTCTTCATTTGTTTTAGATGCAGATTCATATTATAATATCTATTGTATGTAGATTTATACTGACCATGTATAAATACGGATTCAGTGAACTGTAGGTTATTTAATTTTATAAAGTTTCGACTCCTCATTGTGGATAAGAAATAGACAATGAGCTACAACAACCAATACACACTTAGAAGTTTATGGACATAGATATTAATTGAAAGTATTAATGCGCCGTAATTCAATAAAATTCAATTATTGGTATTTCTTTTTGTCGACTCAATAAAGTACATGTAACATGTACATTTGTTGAAAAAAACTGAAACGAGAAACGATACTGTCGTCTATATAATCTATAATGGACGGTTCAGACTTCAAGACAATAACTCATTACACACTTGAATCCAATATCTACAATTTAATTCAAATCTGGTATATACATATTACATAGTATAGGTCCAATGTTTTTTTGTTTTTTGAGGAAAGTATAGGTCCAATGTTGCATTGCATATACCACTCCATTAAATTAATTTGCATGAATATTTTCAGTACTCTCTTACGATTTGTTCAATTTAAGTGGTCCACTTTATTATTAACCGACAAAAGTCCACATTGTCCGCATCGATTTGCTAGTAATAGAGGGATACTCTTACTAACAAAACACTCAGAGAAAAAAACTGATCATATATATATTTATTCACTCAAACAAATAATCAGACTAGTCAATAAATCATAGGTTAATTAGTAATTTCATTTTTCATAGTTAGTTTATAGACAAGCAGACGAAGCAATCAAGCAGACAAAGTACTGTACCACCAAAAGAGCCATGTGAGGCTGAGCTGTAAACGTTCAGCTGAACAAAAGCCCCAAAACAGAAAACAATAAACATAAAATCTATCTTTTTGTATTCAGAATTTAGGGTTTGACTAAAACTTTGCTAATATTTGTCCTGTTGTGACCTTCACGTGCTTCACTTCCAGTTCTAATGGAATTTTCCCACGTTTCCCCAACTAGGGTTTTGACACGTGGTGCAATTTCGTATACAGATTATATAGATCCTGCTAGTTTCTCGGATCGAATTTCTCAAGTGAAATTGAGTTAAATCCCATCTCATTGATATTTGATTACCAATCAAACGTAGACGCATTATGATACGTTGCGTTTCACCAAATTTCATTATATATCTGAGCTTGATAAAAAACTTCAAAGTAGGGTTTTAGTTCTAAATATTGTAAAGCATATAAGGGAATCTAGACATAATCACATAAAGATAATATCATAGGACTTTTGTGGTGGATAAGTAAGCTCTATCTAAAGTTTATTTTGGCTGTCTTCTTGTCTCCAATTTTCTCTACAACTTCTGTCGTTTTCCTCTTACTTAACTCTCTACGTTTTTTGTTATTTACTTAACAAATAAACTAGCTTTTCACTTCACTAATCTTATTCTTAACACTTAAGTACTCCACCAACAAAAAGACAAACAAACAAGTCGAGTTTTTGTTACCTCTTTTTCCTCTCGGCATTCAATTCTTTTTTTTTTTTTGGTTTCAATATCGGGAGATTCCACACCGAATTATAAACCGATCCGACAAAAACAATGGAGTAAGGTCCACTGAATTAAACTGAGCACTATTTTGCAAAGAGTATATATATATAATATAATCCAGTTGCAGTTGTATTTCGACAAAGAGATTGTTGGTCTACTACAAAAAAAGACCAATACTGTATTATCCGATCCGGCTCGATCAGACTTTGGCAAAACCAATTCAAAATAGGTCATGACACTTATCCACAATTTGGACTTGGTTTGGTCAAGTCATAAGATCATGCATACTAATGGTCAGTTACCAAATTATTTAGACGAACATGAACATAATTGACTCAAATGGGCCAGATAAAAAATAAAAAATCAGTTTCTTTTCAGTGTTAAAAGCAAAAGTTCAAAACTATTCCAAGCCAATAAACACTTGATGCGTTTCATCTTCTAAACATCCCTACATCGAATCCATAATGTTATTATATTATATCATATCGTGTGAGTTCTGTCAGTAAGATTCCTAATAATCTCACCAGGAAAAAAAAAGGAACAAAATCGCATGTCTCAACTTTCAAGGTTCAAAAACTTTTAATTCTCATACAAAATCGTCATCGTGATTTACTGAAACAAGATTTGGTGTTTGCAAAGACATGTGAATGTTAGAATTATCAGTGTTACTCGTAACATGTAAACGCTTATAAGTAGACAACTTCACCCTTTTGCTGGTCGCGTTGAGAGATAACGGTTGCAGCGGTTCACGAGGTCTTTGTTGCGGTTTGTTGAACGCTCGGTTACTTACAGTTATGCTGTCAGTTTCGGGTTCCTGCGGTTTCGGACTAACATTTGACTGGATGGGAATGAGCTTCCCATCTACTTGGTTTGTGAAAACAAATGTAACCTGCAAATATTTTTTTTAAAGACAGTAAAAACAGTTATCACAAGCCTGTAAAAGTTCTTGTACCCTAGTACTTGGCTTGGTAATAAAACTGACACTGAAGATTTACAATTTATGATTGATATGGACTGTAAAAAGTTGGGGAAAAACTCACCTCGTCACCAGCAGAAGCTTGTAGTATAGCATCTGGAACAGACTTTGAGGTAAAATGATGGCCCCAGCTTGCTAGATCTTCTTCCAATGGAGTGCCCACCTGAGATTATTCATGGAACAAAAGCCTTTTAGATGAAATCAGATGGCACAAGACATAAACGGAGTTTGTAAGGAATCATATCTTGCAATGTTGAAGATGAATTTTTGTGGTAATGTTTCAGTGTTTTTCCTTTTCTGTTTAAGCTCTAGATAGATTTTAGATTAATGCACGACTTTAGTAACCAAGGACATGAAGGGACCTGTCTCTCGGAGTCTTTTAGCAAGTCGAAGCATTCTGCATCTTTTGCAAATCCTCCTATATCTTCTTGGTCAATCTGGCAAGCATTGTCATCTACATTGTTCTCGTTTCCTTCTTCCATGTTTTCAGTACCAGTGGCATTTTGGCACCTGTTGCAGCTCATCTTTTCATGGATTTCAGACCTAGTCACATTACCAGGAAAAAAGGCTGAGAGATGAAACCATTAATGGACTCTGCTACGGAATGTGTTTTATAATCTTGAGGTGCAAAAACCTGTCCCAAGAAAGTGGGCACAAAAAAAAACATGTCTTGAATTCGACATACCTAACATCCCCGTGGAACGAGAATAAATCGCGTAGATCCTCTGTAGAAAGTAAGTTTCCCTGGAAAATCAAAGATGTAGCGGTTGAGTATTCATGCAGTAGGGACAAAATGTCTAATTGATGAAGCATATAACATTCCAGTAAGGACCTGTCTCGTGCTGTTATCCGTCTGTTCATGCTGAATAACTTTTTGAAGCCCTTCTTTTGACATCTGGCGCTGGTAAACCTACCAATTTACAACGTGAATCTGATTATAGCAATTGCTTCCCCGAGGACACTTGAGTTAAAAAAAGTAGGTCAGTTATGTTGGTGAGATGCAGTACCTTTTCTTCAATAGTTCCAGTACTAAGAAACCTGTAGACATATACTCTTTTCTTTTGCCCATCCCTCCAAACTCTAGCAGCTGCCTGTTTTGACACCATAAGTAATGCATGTACATCACAATCAGACATCTCTTATTAGGACAGATTTGAAACGTATCTAAGGGGATGTTAGGATGGAAATTACTTGTTTATCATTGGCAGGATTCCAATCGGGATCAAACAGAACAAGCCGATTAGCACCGATTAAATTTAGTCCACAGCCACCCGCCTTGCTGCTTAAGAGAAATGCAAACTCGTCCTACAAAACCAAAAGTCAAACCACGTTTATACTGAGGTTTGTAACAACGGCAAACAGAAGATAAGCTCATATACCTTTGTTTGGTCGTTCAGCCGGTTAACAAGCTTCTGCCTCTTGCTGATTGTTGTTGATCCATCCAGCCTCAGAAATGGATATCTTCTTTCACGACAGAGTTGAGCGAAAAGATCCAAAGTCTAGTCCAAAAGGTGCAGTCTATGATTATTATATGCAGACTGGATTTAAAATTGTTATACATGTATGCAACACACCCCATGGTGGTCTTTTTATGCAATCAAGCAACATACAAAGTCACTACTTGTGCTCTTTGTAAGAAAGAGTTTTCTTTTGAACACAAACAGACAAATCAAGGTAACTGTAAGTTCCTAACCTTCTCGGATATCACATGCTAAATATAAGGCTCGGGATAACATAACGCACAGCTTACGGGAAAACTATTCAATAGAGCGTACAACATTCATAATTGAGAATTAGGCCAGTTGTAACACCACTAGCTTCGATAAGTAGAATCTGTTCAAAATATATGCGGAGGCATCCTAGAGTTCATGCTCTATGACCACAGTTACATGCACTGTCCCCTTCAAGTCAAAGAAAAGTAGCATACCTGTGTGTAGTTTGATACAAGGACTATGCGGTCATCAGTTTTCCGACGCAGGTTGGCCAAAAGTCTGGAGAGGACATGCATTTTCCCAGAGAGCTCGACCCAGGCACCATCACCCCCAGTCCATGCTCCAGATCTGAAAGGATTAATCCATTTAGATCCCAAGTCGTGAAACAATGAGTTAAACTAGAGAAAGAAACTTACCTCCCAGAGAACATTTCTGCAGGGAAAAACTCTAAGCAATTCTCAAATCCAATAGTTCCAGGACTTTTGCTTTTTATTGTATCATAGATTAGCTACATGGAAAAGAATAGGTGTATCATTACGAGCATAAATGGGGAAAGATGAAACAGGGCGTCCATCACAAAGATCATGGACCACTAAAATGTATAAAACTAGATACTTAA